AGTGAAAAACGTTGAGAACCAATGCTCTAAGGCAAGAGATGACGGTGGCAGTGCGTGTGATAGGGGGTGCGGGAGGGGGTTTTGAGAATTGCAATTAAATGCCAGGTAGCGACGTGTCCTCCTATTATTACTTATTAAGTAATTATTAGATGTTTTAATTGCCTGTATGTTGGCCTGGCGAGTTATTGCTAGGTATTAACATACTTAGGTTAAAGCTAGGCATCGCATTCTCGGTTATATCACAAAAACTGGTTTTTAGAAAAAACGTCTTTTTCTGTCCATTTCATGTATTTCTCTTGAAGTTTTTGTTAACCTTAGTATTTCTTCATTTGTTTTCCTGTCAGTGTAACTTTTTCTTAACATTTGCATATAACACCACATTTCAAAGGCCTCTAACCTCTTTCTGGTGTCTGCTGACAGTTTCCACACTTGTGACCCATACATCAGCCTGCCATATACAAAAAGCCTTATAGCAGCCTTTTTCTCAAATTGAAGTTAATACTTCTTTTGATCAGGTCTTTTAGATTATTGAATGCTGATTTTGCTTTACCTATTCTTATTATGATTTCTTTTGCACATCTACCATCACAGCTAATGTTACTTCCCAAATATTGTAACGTACACAAAATTTTACACTTGTTTTCAATTTCTCTCTTGCCTGCCATAATTTGTATTTTAGAATTTATTCCCAATTTGAAAACAAGCATTACTTTCACCTTTACAGAATTGACTCTTAACCCATGTTCTTCACCTTTCTTCCACTAATCTTTTAACCAGTTTTTGTAACGCCTCTTCACTATCCGTGATAAGAGCAGTATCATCTGCATAGCGTACATCTAATATTATTTTACCTTTAACTTTTATTCCGTCATTCTGAATACTGTACAGGGCTGCCTCACTTATCGCAAAGGTTATGGGCATGAAACTCGTTGCGAATATCGAAATTGCAAATAGCGGAGCAATTTCTCCCATAAGAAATAATGTAAATAGGGGGGATACGGACATCGCGGTGGTCACGGCCGTCAGATTTTAACACTTGTTTTACTCAATACATTTAGAACATAAAATAAATAAAGAAACAAGGGCATAATATCAAATAAACATCAATAACAAACACTTTGGGTTTATTAGGCATACAGTACTGTATATGTTTACAAATACAGTATACTGTACTTTACATGTTTGAGTGTGTGAGTGTTTGAATGTTTATGTGCGTAGGTGTGTGAGGTAAGTTTTAAACGTAGACTGTTAATTTACCTCTGATGTGCTGTGTTGCTTGCTTGCTGAAGTTATCATTTTGGGAGAGGGTGAAGGTTTACTGGGGTGAGAGAAGGCTGGGGTCATCAGCCACCTCACTCTCCTCACTGTGTTTTAAGGTGCTGGGTCTGGTCATCAATCCACATACTCAACATCCGCTCCATACTCACCATCTCAGCATCACGGAACCTAGTCAGTGATGTTGCAGACCTGGCCATCTCCTTAATCTTGTCGCCGCTTTTAACTATAGAATGCACCATAGAGGGAGCCAAGCCTTGCACGCGCCCAATCACTGACGTTCCTTCTCCGTGTTCATGTCTTTTTACGATATCAAATTTCATGTCCAACGTAACTGCCACACGTGATCTCTAGCAACATTGCTGGGATTTTAGTAGCTGGTCGCTTTGGCATTGCGAGATCACACAAAACACACGCCAGTATGTGTGAGACTGAGGACGAGCGGGAGCGTATGGCGGAGGAATACATACACGCTGTCCTACGCTACGGTTCAGGCGTGTGGTTCAAAATTTTTTGCTCTTAAGAATTTGCGAATAAACAGGGCAACCATTGTGAATAGTGGAAATGGGTAACAATAATTTGATTGCGGATAAATGGGGTTACAAATACCGAGGCTATGAATAACGGGGTTTGCCATATATTATACAAGGTCGTAGATAGAACACAGCCTTGCCTTAATCCCTGTCTAATTTTGAACCAATTTGTAAAGCATATCATTGCAGTACAGTGAACCCTCGCCCAACACTGGTTTGTTCAACACGATTTTGACTATACAGTACGTATTTAAATATATGTGACCAAATAATTTGTCCAACACGGAAAATTTGAATAGAAGTGGGTTAACAACTCGCCGCCTCCAACTTTCCTCCCCCCTCCTTCCTCCTCCGCTTTGCCTCAGCCACCCTCCAGTTGGAGATGCCCGCCAGTCTTGCTTATGCGCTAGTATCGTTAACATTGTACTAAAGTGGTTTTGGAACTTACTGTGTTTTTCCATTGCTTTGTGTGTTTTCCCTTGCATTATGGACCCCAATTTCAGAGGTGATGCTAGTGGTGGTAGCACACCCAAGAAAAGTAGAAAAGTGATTAGCTGAGAAAATAAAGATTTTATATTGGCTACATGATGGAGCACATGTAGCAACGCTTGCCCGTGAGAACTCTGGTAAATGAATGCACCATACACAGAATTCGTAGTTGTGAGGACAAAATATGTACAAGTGTGATAGCATCAGCTTCTGTAAGTGCTAAGGTAGCTCAAGTACCAAGGAGGGATTGGTACTAAGGAAAAATGGAAAACTATTAAATGTTTGGATCAGTGGACAAGTGAATGAGAAAAGATCTGTTGTCATCGATATGACGTAGCAATATGTGAGAATGCACATAGCTTGTATGTTCATGTTGTGAAAACTGAGGGGGCAGGGAGTGATGCTGTGATTGTGTCTGATTTCCAAGCAAGCAAAGGGTGGTTTGAAAATTTTAAATGCCGCTTTGCTTTACATAATGTGAAGCTTCAGGGAGAGGCTGGATCAGCAGACAAAGAGGCTGCAGAGCACTTCAAGCCCATGCATTTAACACTGATGAGACTGGTCTCTTTTATAAATGTAAGGGTAACCTTACCTACATTACAAAGACCCAAAAAGTTGCTCCAGGGTTTGAAGCCTTCAAAGACAGGTTGACATTGTTATCTTGTGGTAATGCAGCTGGTGATTGGAAGTGCAAACCAATGCTTGTGTACCGTTCGGAAAATCCCAGGGCATTAAATGGTAAAAATAAGCTTCATTTGCCTGTTGTTTGGAAGTCCAATAAAAAGGCCTGGGTAACTTGGGTGATCTTTAATGATTGGTTGGAGCATCATTTTGTGCATGAGGTCAAAGAATATCTTATGAAGAAGAATTTTGACTCAAGGGTGTTGCTATTGTTGGATAATGCCCCAGGCCATGATGCAGTAACACTTCAGTTCACGCATCCTAATGTGGAAGTTATGTTCTTGCCCCCAATACCACTTCAATTCTGCAACCAATGGATCAAGGTGTCATCAAGACATTTAAGTCATATTACATGAGGAGTGTCTAGAGACAAGCAACGAAACAATGGATGCTGATGCATATGAAACACTGATGGAATTCTGGAAGGCATTTAACATCAAAAACTGCCTTGACATTATAAAAATGTCTTGGGATGAAGTGAAGCCTTCTACCATGGACACTTGCTGGCACCAACTTTGGCATGAAAGTTCTCACGATTTCAGGGAATTTCCAACGGTTGACAAGGAAATGCTAAAATTGTGAAACTTGTAAAGGAAATTGGAGGTGAGAGTTTTGATGACATGTAGAAAGAGGAGGTGAATGAACTGTTGGACTTGCATTTTCAAGAACCTACAAATGAGAAGCTTGAAGAGCTTTTAGCAGATGACAGTAAAAGTGATGATGATGATACTGAAGTGGAATCCGTAAAACCTAAATTAACAATTAAGGCGACCTTTGAATTCCTCCTGAAAGCAAATGAACTTTCTGACATGTGTTTTGACATAGATCCAGTAATGGAGAAAAGTTTAAAGTTTAAAAGGGCCCTGCATGATATTTGTGTGCCATACAGAGAAATTTTGAAAGGTTTGAATACAAAAAGCAAACAACAGAAAATAATAGACTTCTTCTAGAGGCCGCAGTCACCCCAACTATCAACATCATCTGCCGATCTGGAGCCTGAAGCCAATGATCCTGATGATCCATCGGCTTAAGTATAAAATTCATTCAGGCTTCATCATAATCGAAGTCTTCTTCATCAATCACCATTATCAGAAGGCTTCACAACATCTGTGATATCATCATCATAGTTACGATACAATCATCTCGCCATGGATCGGTGAGTACAATAATGTGGTTTTATAATGCTTATCATTAATATGTTTAATTGTTTATGGTTTGTTATTTTTATTATTATTAGATTTGTGCCACCCCGTAAGAAGTTAAGTTTGCCCAATGCGATTTTGCCCAATACGCAGTTTTCGAGGAACCTAATCCCCGCATTGGGCAAGGGTTTACTGTATATGATTACTGTAATTTATTCACATTACAGTAGTACATGAGTATTTTCAGTTGAAGGAAAATAGTTCCTGAATAGATTTACCAATAAAGATTTTTCAATAGAATGCACTAGTTGGCATTCCCTTTTTAATATCCTGATGTATACATCAAAACATATCTTAAAGCTTCCCATTGTTCTTGCAGTAATAATGATAACAGTATTTGTTTATTTTGCAGTGGATAACTCTGTCATATGTAACTAACTGGTCTCTGGAAGTTAGAGATTCAGTGAGGGCCATCACCAGTTGGTCTAGTCTTAGATGAAAACAGAGGTGCTATATTTGTTAGCATCACACTGGACAACACCTGTCTAACATGTGATTCAAATGGGGATGAAACTCAGTCTCCTTGGTGAGAGACATTCATGTTACTAAAGCACTGTATTATACCACCAACACCTCCAGGATGAATATTGTTCCAAGGATCTACAATTTGACGTGTGAAGGAGGGTTTTGTACAGTTTAAATGAGGTCTTGAAATTTTTTGTGGCGGTATAGATATTGTAGATTGTTTAAAAATCTTAAATATCTTGATCTTGCCTTTACAAGGTACATAATGGTGCCTTTCTTACTGCTGCTGCCCTAAGATAACAATTCAGTGACCTAACCCATCAAATGGTGATGACCCACTGCTTTATCCCAACAGGTGATGTACGGGATGACAGAAACAAGCCCTGTTACTTTTCAGTGCTGCCCATCAGACTCACCAACTGTAAGGTCTTCCACTATCGGCTATCCTTGTGATCATATTGAGGTAAGTAGCATTTATTTGTGTCATAATAATTATTAATATATCATATTACAAAGTGCTGGAGATGGATGCCTTCACTTAGGTGATAATAACACTTTGTGCAGGTAAAAGTGAATAGAAGATACACTACACCAACATGTACATGTGCAAAGTGGGCCAGGGCATTAGTGAAATTGTCAAGCTTTTGGAGAAACACGACATTTTTTTTTACATTCAATAACTGCTCTCACCTCTCACAGACACTACTGTATAACAACACAACACTACCCCCACCCACAAAACAGTATTCCACCTCCCAACATAACTGAACACAGACATACACAGATACTGGTACAGTATTGTACTGTATATGCATAAAAAATTTGTCGATGATGATAAACATCAGTAATAATAATATCAACATCAACAACAACAACTTTAGTGACCTCCTCCATCCAAAGAATATTCAGAGAACTCGCTGAATACTCTTCCACCAGATGCTCAAATCTCAGAAGCTACTGTTCCCAGAAATGAGAGTATTGTACAGTACATCTTACCAGACTACTGTATGCTGTGGTCACCACTCTGCCATAGCATACATTTAAATCAAGACATTTTTTTTCTGCCTGTGGTTCTTCCCAATAACTCTTTTATCATAGTACCTGTACAAATTTAAATTTGTGATTGTATTCATGTATTTAGTTTACTTTGTTGAAATCTGACATGACAAAATATTTTTTTATGAAATTGAGTGTAAAAAGTTATTATATTTTGGAGTTATTGAAAAATTATTTTGCTTCAAATGCCAGAGTAATGCTTTTTAAGAATTTATGACAACGTTTGATATAATGTTGGCTAATTCTTATAGCATAAAATGAGAAATCCATGAATAGCTGTAGAGAATTTTAATTTTATCTTCATATCCCCCCTTGGTTCTGTCAGATTGTTTTTTAAGTAATATCAAAGTAAGATATGGAAACTATGGCTTTACCTTGATAAAATAAAAAAGTAGTAAAAAAGGACCCGTTACCATTTTCATATTTTACTGGAACTTGACATTCATTGGAAATGCAACTTAGAAGAAAAAGACGATTTTTTCTAAAAACCAGTTTTTGTGATATAGCTCGAATGCGACATCAGCAATGTTACCTAGGTATGTTAATTCCTAGCCAATTTCGCCAGGCCAACATACAGGCAATTAAAACATCTAATAATTACTTAATAAGTAATATTAGGAGGACACGTCGCTACCTGGCATTTAATTGCTATTTTCAAAGTCCTTCCTTCATTTTGCCACCATGCGTACTGCGAAGCTCATCTCTTGCCTCAGAGAGAGCAGTAATTAAAAGTCAACTCTCGAGGGGTGGAGATTATGGACGTCGCATTCGTGCTATATCACAAAAATTGGTTTTTAGAAAAAAACGGCTTTTTGTTCAATGCTCTGAATGTGACGCTCAGCAAGAATACCCGAGTAGGGGGTGGAGAGGGAGATGACTTTGCATACAAGGCTCCGCTGACTGAGGTCCTTATTATATTATAAACTATTTTGAAAATTTCCAAAATTAGGAACATTTATCGGAAGGTAAAATGTTAATTTACTCAAAAAGGATACTTACCTTATTCTAATGAGGAAGAAGGTCCTGGTAGTGGAGATTGAATAGATGGGGGAGGGGAACCCAGCACCACCACATTTGAAGCATCTTTCAGAGATAGATGAAGATTGCTGTCTTTGAAAGTTTTTGAAGATCTCCAAAAGCCCATTTCCTTGATCTGACTGAGACTCATATGCCACGGAAAGGCCACAGACCCTGCATATTTCCTAGTGTCATGTGCCAAAAATTTATTGCCAGGGTCTGCTTGATTCACTAATTGAGATAAGGATTGTGTCAATTGACTAGGAGATAATTTCTTAACATCCCTTGATGAGAAAACATAAGGGCCTCTATTAGGGAATCTGGTTAACCATTCCTGAAGATTTTTAACTGGACACAATATGTGAGGAACCCTAGTTTCATCCATTAGACGTTTTATCCTAATAGGTTGAGCTTGGAAACCTTCCTTTTCATTTTTTCTTAGGATCTCCGTAGGAAAAAGGATAACATCCTCGTCAGAAAATACCAATAATGATGGATTATTGGAAATTGAAATCAGTTCACTGATTCTCATACCTGTTGCTATTGCTAGAAGGAAGGCTGCCTTCTGGAGTAATTTATCCCTGTTCAGATTTATATTGTAATTAGGCCCCATAAGAAGATTAGTAACTTTTTCCAGAGACCAACTCTGATTTATAAGATGCAATTGTCGATCCTTGAAGGCCTTTAACTCTGAACAGAAATTCTAAAAATTCTTATACAACTGTTTCCGATAATGAATCCGAAGTTGTTAACTTGATAAATTGTTGAAAAAGATTCCAAGCTTTCTCATATTGAATAGAAGTTTGGGGTCTATGACCTGCTAATACTTGATTAGCTATATTGGAATTACCCAACAACCTATTTAAACTTTTTTTGAGAAACTCCAAGCGTGAAGTGCCAAGGATATCTCGACCTGAGAATGTAGTACCTGGTCTAGACATCCTTGTTGCAATTGTGGAGGATTCGGGCACCAGTCCAGTAGATCCAGGCACCAAGGTTGTAGGATCCAATATGGTGCAATTAAGAGGACTTTGCCTCGGAAGGAACTGAGTTTGTGAACCACTTTGGGCAATATTTTCACAGGTGGGAACAGATAGCTTGAATTCCAAAGGTTCCAATCTAAGAGGAGGGCATTTCCTAAAAGATTTGACCTGTCCAGAAATGCATAAATTGGCATCTTGTAATTTGTTAGGGAAGCAAACAGATCTATCTGTGGAGTTCCAAACTTCTTCACTAGACTCTTGAACTCCGATACCTTTACGGACCATTCTGTTTCTGTCGATACAATTGTTTTGCACTCCCGGTATATAAGTTGCTTTGAGGTAAAGTAATTGCGTTGCACAAATACTGAAAATTTTTTCTGATAGTTGTAGAAGGAGCCAAGACCTTGTTGAGCCTTGATGATTGAGACAAAAGACTGCTGTTTTGTTGTCCATGGCAAACAGGATCGTCATATTTTGTAAATTTGGGTTTGCCAACAAAAAGAATAGGACCACTGCTAATTCTTTTATATTTATGTGTTTGTCCCAAAGGAAGTTGCTCCACCTTCCTTGATTGAATTCCCCTTTTGAAGAATGGTATCCCCATCCTATTTTGGACACATCCGTACAAACGACCAAATCTGTTTGAGGTGGAACCCAGGGAGAGGGACCGATTGGATTGTCCCAGTTTGTCCACCATAACAGATGATTCTTTATCTGAATAGGGAGAGAAGAAGCAACTTTTCTGTTTCTGCGCAGCAACTTCGAGCCCAGATGAGATAGTTGCTTTTTCCTTAACTTTCCCAATGGAACCACTATTGTGGCAAAATTCAACAGACCCAGAAGTTTTTCCCAGTCGTGCCAAGAAACCTTGTGCTTTACACAAAAGGTTTCTACTTTGTTTATCAAATCTGTTACTTTCGTTCCTGGTTAACTGACTGACTGCTGATTTGTATCCCAGTGGAGGCCTAACCAATCCAACTTTTGATATGGTATTAAGTTTGATTTTACCTTGTTTATCTTTAAACCAAGGTTTTGAAATAGTACTAGTGTACGTTGGGTCGCCCTTTGACAATCTTCGAAAGAGTTTCCCATTATCAGCCAATCGTCTAGATAAGCAAAGGTTCTTGTGCCCTCCTTTGCAAGGATCTTTCTGGGAATATTTGCCAGTTTTGTAAAGACTTTTGGTGCAATTGTCAGACCGAATGGCATCACTGTGAATTGATAACTTAATTCCCCTACTTTGAACACCAGAAATTTTCTGTACCTGGAAGCAACAGGAACGTGATAATAGGCATCTTCGAGATCCACTTTTGAAATCCAAGCATTGGGCGGAAGTAGATGCCTCAGATGGTCGTAAGTGAGCATCTTGAAACTTCTTTTGGGAATAAATTTGTTTAGGATTGAAAGATCCAAAATCCATCTTAATTTGTCGCTGCCTTTCTTGTGGACTGGGAATAGGCGAGACATGAAACATTTCTCTGACTGCAACGGTTCTATGACACCTCTGTTAAGTAGTTGACTTACAAATTTTGTAAGTAATGGGGTTGGTTTTTGACCCTTCTTTGGGGATGCTAGGGGAGGGTGCCTCAACCAAGTCCATGTGAGACCCCTTTGATTGTCTTGCAAGCCCATATGGAAGAAGTCCATCTGTTCTCCCAACCACCTAGACGACCCAGCTGTCTGGCTTCATTGGAAGGGGGAAGTTGCTGAGGTGGTGGAATAAGGTCTCCTTCCGTTTCTGAATAAACGGCCACCTCTATTATGTCTTTGATTATTTCCTCCTCTAAAATTTCCCCTTGGTTGATAACTGACCCAGGCAGCTGGTCCTGTTCCCCTGTAAAACCTTCCTCTCCTAGGTTTCCAAAAGGTCTGAGGACTCCTGGGGACATTAATATTAATAGTATTCTCCAAAGATGATCTATAATTAATCAATGATTGCTCACCAAACAAAGCAGGAGAAAGAGAAGAACGTATCAACAAATAAGCCCTACCACTTGAATCATTATTCGTTGCTTGTTTTCTTAGCTGGACTTTCAGTCTTATGGCTTTCAACAAATGATCTAAAAATGCGTTGTACAGTACAGGGAATATGGGATCCCTTGTAGAGCAGCAGCAAAACATTTGTCCACTTCTGAATTTTCTTCATAGTCCAGCACAAACTTAGTTAATAACTGACATATCATAATTGCAGACCAAACATCTGCTGCCAATTTCCTAATTTTAAATTCTTCAAGCAACAGTGCAGGGGCAACTGGTTTCAAATTTTTTTCATAACTTATATCAACATATTTTGAAGCCGACACATATTGGGAAAGTTCATATAAGGAACTCTTTTTGTCATTAAATTGGAACTTCAAAAAACTAAACTTGTGAGCATTCCTATCTGAGGGAATGAATGTTAAGTCTTTCAATAAATTAGCCCAGACTTCGTCTATTTCAGAGATCATCTTTGGGCAAATATCGGGCCAAAGTGTAGTATCACCCTCCAAAAACAAAGAATGTTGACCCAAAGTTGCATGTCCTTCCTCTCTCTTTGTAGTTGCTGAGATATCAGGAAGCTTAGAGACATTTTCATAAAATATCTTGAATAAGGAATCCACAGATTCAGATGGATTAGTGAACAAAGAAGACTTAGCTCTTACCAATGTTACCCATGGCCTGTTGGGGTCATCCTTACACTCAATATTATCCATCAGCTGCGTGGCAGTTAAGAGCAGTCTGTTTCCACTCATAGTAGCCAACACATTTGCCCCAGGTGGAAGAGGTTGCCAAAATGGGGACAGGATGAAGTCAGTCTCAATAGGTTCTCCCTGCTCTAGAGACTGAACACTATAATTAGAGCCAGCCTCCTCATCCTGATCCTGGAATCCACTGAAAGCAGACTGACTAGGTAGAGGTTCTTGTAATCTTCCTACTGCCTCATTACAGTGGTCCCCCGATTTACACGGTCAATTGAATCCGCGGAGTAGCGCGTGAAACGAGAAACGCGTAAATAGAATAACAGAACATATGGGATTAATTGAAATAGAGACTGGGCCGACTCCCAAACTCCACTTTTTCCGACACAATACCTACGTTGTAGTAAAAATAACATCTTAATTTTATGATGGTATGCTCACACAATTAATATTTAAGAGATATACAGTCGCCAGGTTAATGTCCATTCAAATAATGGACTCAACTCCACCCCCCCCCCTCATCCCACGCTCGCTGGCTCCTCCCTCTCTGAGAAATGTTTGGGTGAAAACACTATATTTCAAGGTATAGTAATAAATAATACCTCAGACTAAAGTTAGGATATTATAATTGACAATGCTGGACTCCTTGCAAGACCAGGAATATTTTGAATATAAACATCATATATTTTGCACAAAAGATAAAATTTTGGCGCTTTGTAATCAAAATTCTTACATTAGATCTAAAATTTGTATGTCTAATGCAAATTCCATGATGTTTATATTTAAAATAATCACAGTCTTATAAGAATTCCAGCAATGTAAATTATATTCTGGCTGGGTAATTTGTATGAATTTTATGAGCTAAAACAAATATCTTCAGTAAATAAACAAATTATACTTGACCCAGACACTATCTGTCAATCAAAATACCCCACCTCCGCTCCCCCCCTCTACCCACGCTTGCTGGGTCCCTCCCTTCCTATCACCCACCTTCCCTTCCTACCAGAGAAATGTTTGGGTGAAAATATTAGGCTTACATTTTTAGTAATAAATAATACCTCAGACTAAAGTTAGGATAATATAATTGACATTGCTGGATTCCTTGCAAGACCAGGAATATTTTGAATATAAATGTCATATATTTTGCACAAAAGATAAAATTTTGGCTTTGTAATCAAAATTCTTAAATTAGATCTAAAATTTGTATGTCTAATGCAAATTCCATGATGTGTATATTTAAAATAATCACAATAATCATAAGGATTCCAGCAATGTAAATTATATTCTGGCCGGGTATTTTGTATGAATTTTATGAGCTAAAACAAATATCTTCAGTAAAAAAACAAATTATACTTCACCCACGTAAATGAGGATAGCAGGATATTGTTTGTTGGATATAGAGAAAATGAAGGTAAGTATGACATTTGTTTAATGACTGACTCTACAAGAGTTTGTTTTATCTTGTGTTTTCAGGTGAAGGTGACTGATGAACATGGGAACATAGTTCCTGTAGGGGAGCCAGGAGAGCTGTGTATTAGAGGATACTGCAATTTCCTTGGCTACTGGGGAGAGCCAGAAAAGACAAAGGAAATGATGGGTCCTGATCGATGGCTTAAGACTGGGTAAGTGTTATATAGGTATTCCCTGATTTACGATGGTGATATGTTCTTGATATTGTATACCCATCGCAAGTCGAAATATCAAATATCGTGAGCATTATAACTTGGGGTTCAATGGGATTTGTCCCCAGCCAGTCTAAAACCCACATGTATCACCATAAATAAAATTCCTACACTAATAAGATACCTAAAACACAATCAAACAAAAATCACCACATCATTAAGAACAAGCCTGGTCATCATCACATGTCCCCTTCAAGGCTAAGGGGACTCTTTGAAAGTGGAGTGGAGACGTCACTCTAAATCCCACACAGCCTCTGGGGATTCAAGCTTCACCACCAGAGACACGGTCTTCCTGAGTGCTTTGGCCTTCCCAGATACAGGAGCCTCAGCAACATGCTTGCTAGACATTTTCAAAGCTACACTGCTCACTTCACAATCACAAAAACAGCAAAAGCACTTGTCACAATAAAAAAAAATTAATACAATGTGAATGTTTGTGGTGTCCTCTCATTGTAGGGAAAAGCAACAATGATAGCGGTTGACACTGCTCACATCATGTTCACAACAACAGAGGCAAAGCACTTTACAGTCACAAGAAACAGCAAAATCACTTTACAGTCATCAAAACAGAATACAATGTGAATGTCAGTGTTTTCCTCTCATTGTAAGGTAAAAAAAAATTAGTAACAACACTGATACTGACTGATAATCGCTGAGCTACACGATCATGGGCATGTGCAAATAACCATGATACAAAAAGTGTGGTACTGTAGTGCACCGGTTGGCCATGTGGCAGAGTGTGGGTAGAACGCAGGTGACAAGTGCAACGAGATATGTGTTCCATATTCTGGGTGTCACCTATTTTGGCTAGACGATAACCATCGTTCATGTAAAAAATAAAACAAATATAAATTATCATAGATAGGGTATGGTCTTAATACATCACCATCGTTCAAGCAAAATATCATGAACAGGGAGATCGTAAATTGGGGGATACCGACAAACTTTTATCATATGATTCATGTTACATACACTATTCCCACATTTTAACGTGGTTGGTAAAGTTAGCTCATTCATCATCATTACCTTTACAGCCATTTCATTCTTGCCAGATATATGTAAAGCAGAATCAGTGTGAATGGATTTTGGTCTTACTAGGCTGTGGTGTTTACAGTACAGTAAACCCTTGTTATTCGTGGGGGTTAGGTTACAGGGAATGGCACAAATAGGCAAAACTGCAAATAGCAACCAACCAGCCGTGGCAGCATTCATCCCCTCTTTTAACCCTTTCAGCCCCGGAGCCTGAGACATATATGTGCATGAAAACTTACGCTCAGGGTCGGAGGTTTTTGCCAAAAAATCGTTGAAAAAATAATTTTTTTGTTCAATCCAGAATGCGACGTCTAGCTTTATACCTAGGTATGTTAATGCCTAGCAATAACTCGCCAGGCCAACATACAGGCAATTAAAACATCTAATAATTACTTAATAAGTACAGTGACCCCTCGTTTAACGAACGCCTCGGTTAACGAAATTTTGGTTAACGAACTGCCTTCCATAAGGATCTTCAATTCGGTTAACGAAAAAAAATTCGGTTAACGAATTTCTTACGAACCGACCTCAACATGTTTTTGCTTGCACTGACCGGGCAACCAGCTTTAGTATCAGTCCGCCGATACATTAATCGGTTCTAGGGCTTAAATTCCTTACTATTTTAGTAAATATCAAGAAGTTTATACTATTCAATAATTTTAAAAGTTTAATATTCAATTTTTTAGTCATTTTAACAATTATTGAACATAATTGAAGGTAAAGTGACTAGTTTAATGCGCGGCATCCAGCCTCTTAACACAGCAAACAGGCGTTAGTCTCTCTCTGTTTTCACTGGAGGTAACATCTTGCTTGAGACTCTCTTCAACTAAATGCTTTTTTTCTGTGTTTCCAAGCAAATTATTGGTCATTTTGAAATATATTTTACATATTGACAATATATAATGCAGTGCAGTGTTGATTTAAAGAAAATAATCTTGAATTACACCAAGAGAGCTAAAATTTTATGGGTGAAATGGCGCCATGGGGTGACTTCTCTTCCACCCCAATGCCTTCTCTTCTTCCTTCTCCTCCACCCCCATTCTAAATCCCATCATCATCATCATCATCATCATCATCATCATCCAGGAGCCTTCTACATACACACCTCAAAGTAAGTGAACTTTTCTTCCATTTTTGTTGAAATTAGGAAATTTTCGGTGAGCTGGAACCAATTACCCAAAAACCCATTGAAACAATGGTTTCGGTTAACGAACGACCTTCTGGAACGGATTGAGTTCGTTAACCGAGGGGTCACTGTACTGTATAACTTGTCGCAAAAGGTAATGCGATAAATGTAAATATAATTGTAAATAATTTTCGTACAAGTCCTAGATTATTCAGGTAATTGAATGCTTCCATACCTAGTAATTCTGACGAAATGACAAAAGAAGTAAATTTTAAAGACCTGCCCAAAATATTAGTAAGTCAGAGATTATATTTTGGTGTGATGTGGACAACCTATCTCCCAAACCAAGATTTTTTTAGTTACAAAGTTAATGGAAAACTGCCCCAAAGTAAAATAGTAAAGTTACTAAATATAAAGAATTATAGATTTGTAATTAAGGAGAGCCATATAAACACTTAGTATAAATTTATGCGTGAATGATCATGTGATGACGTGGGACATAGAAGATACGCCTAGACAACGTGTGAGGCAGACCAGCTTCAGCACTCGAGAAAGTAAGACGTGGCAAGATGTATTGGCTACCTTCACACCTTTTAATGTTCCTGAGTCTTCAGACAACCAATAGTACATCTACATAAGTTTATTCAAAGCACGTCCACTCACCAAGCTGAGACAAAACTTTTTCTTGTACATTGTAGATGAATGGAACAGCTTACCTTGAACAGGTTGTATTGTCTCAAAATCTGTTGACTTGCAAGAAAGGAATGGAAAAGCACTGGGCAGGTCAAGGGGTCTTTTTCGACTACAAGGTCCATAGTACAGTATGTGTTGTAAGACCACTTGCTTGTGATGTTTTTGAGAAAGGTCAGAGAACCAGATGAAGAACTGGATATATATACAGATTTCCTTCATTAAAACTGGATAAAAAAAGAACTGTAAAGATAATTACAGTTATAAAAGTTTTCTCAAAATATAGAAGCAAATTTTCTTTAAAATTCAGTTACCACCCATCAGATGCTCACCACTCACATTAGGCAATTGTGGGTAGAGTTAAACTCAGTAAAAAATAAGTACAGATACAGGGCATTTAGGACAAATTTTGACTTTGCCAAGATCTGTTTTAATGTTACAATATTTAAAGATTTTTTCATGTGGAGTGCAAAATTATTTTGTTGACAGTGAAGCTTGTTATTACTGTACCTTGGTCATTTGTTGACAGTGAAGCTTGTTATTACTGTACCTTGGTCATTTGTTGACAGTGACCTGGCAGTATTGCAGCCAGATGGATATGGCCAAATTATTGGTCGCATGAAGGACATGATTATACGAGGTGGTGAGAACATTTACCCAGCCGAATTAGAAAACTTCCTGATGGGACATCCTGGCATTATTGAAGTTCAGGTCAGTTCTAATAGCTTATGAAACCAAATAATATTTGTAGTTGATATATTTTTTGTCAGATTAGTTTTTTATTATCTCAGTAATAATGTTATGTATGCTATGGTTCTTTCACTTTCCTAACTCAACTTTATCCTCTTCACCACTTTTCATCTTACTAGCAAGTCAAGTAGTTGGTCAGTTCTCTATTACACAGTACAGGTTGTACCTCTCTAGTCCGGCATTCTGTGGTCCGAAAACTCCCGTGGTCCGGAACGATTTTAGTTTGTCCAATAGGTAGATAGGCTGCCTTTATTTATTTTGTTTATTTTTTTATTTTATTTTTTTTCACTTATCTGAATTATTATTATTATTACAGGAGTATTAAATTTTTGCCCTTCAGGCCCTAATGTGGGTCAGTGACCTATTCCCAGGTGGGCTAATCCTTAAAAAAAAAAAAAAGCCGCGGGAAATTAAGGTTTGTTTACATCCGGCAGTTCGGCTGCTCTCTCTCTCTCTGCTTGTCTATACAGAGTACAACATTTAACCCTTCAATATATATGAGCAGTAAATAAGTGTTGCTTTCATATTCTTATGTAGAGTAATGACGATATATTTTCACATGTGCGCACTTACATACGAGCAGTCTCACTTTTTTTTTTACCATTAATGGTTAGCTACTTATATTGTTCCATTTATTAACATTAAATAACATTACAGGTACTTCAAGCAACCATATTCATTTTTTTACATTAATTTTACTACAGCTAAACTCAGGGTCTTATTTTCTTCAGTTTTATATGTAGAACCAATCAGTCACTGGTTTCGTAAGCTTTAACATAAACAATGCCGGCAGCCGTCTCGTCTCCTCTAATATTCCACGTATTATTAATAAATTGTATTGTTAATTTTGCACACACGTACATTAATTCAATAAAAACAAATTCAGAAACATTAATTAAAATATATATGAACAGTAAATAAGTGTTGCTTTCATATTCTTATGTAAAGTAATGACGATATGTTTTCACGTGTGCGCATGCGCACTTACATATGCGATCTCTCTTTTTTCTTTACCATTATCGTTAGCTACTTCTATTGTTCCATTTATTAACATTAAATAACATTACTTAAAACAACCATATTAATTTTACTACAGCTACAACCAAGGTCTTATTTTCTTCAGTTTTATATGTAGAACCAGTCAGTCACTGGTTTTGTAATCAACGAATACAATGCTGTGTCATTTCCTCGTGTGTTTTAATATTCTACGTATTATTAATGAATTGTATTGCTCATTTTGCACACATAAACATTAATTCAATAAAAAAGACATTCAGTAATAAACAATAATGAATCTTTTGTACATAAGAGAAATGACGCTGTTTACACGATTATGCACGTCGTCTGCACGTTGGCGGGCCGTTCAAACCCGTCGAAATTCAAGTTTCCGCCGTCAAAATTTTTATTTATTTATTTTTTTGTGTGTTCCAATAAAATACGTTAAGAATTAAAAACTCGCGAAATTTGAGAAGCTACTATACGACATTTAACCCTTCAATATGTCTTCAAAGAGACCATGATGCAGAGAAAGTGGTGCTAGTGCTTCCAGGCATAAGCACAAGTCACTATCTATCCAGGAAAAGGGTGAATTTCCATGGTCCGGCACCGGTCAGGTCCCGAGGTTGCCGGACTAGAGAGGTACAACCTGTATTGGCAAGTACTGAACATGTATAGGCTCATGAATGTACAGTACAGTCAACCAAAGATGCACTGACCCCACCCTGGATCTCGTACTCTTAATTTTACCTGGCAATGTTTGGTAAAGTAAGACTGTATGTAATGGTGATTGTAATTGGTGGATCTATTTTTGGCTGTATCACCATCAGGATAAACATTAAACAAACCAAAAGTATAATTTTTATAATAATAAACTATTCATCATTATTTTGGATCATGAGAAGTATCCAAATGTTTGTATATTTACTTAAATAATGAAGAAAATTATATGTGAGAATCTTGTGGCAGCTGTGGTTGTAGTTGAGTGAAAGTAATAAATAATGAGGAATGGATACAGTGTGACTGAGCACTTACCTTTAATGTAGTCAGCTGAATGCACATGGGGCCCCCATAATTTTCTAATTATACATGGAGACTACATTAACTGGAAACATTTCGGTATAGAAAATGCGCGCGTCATTTGAAAAAAAAAATGGTCACAACTGCGGCGGTCGTAAGTCCCGACGGTCGTAAGTCCAAGCAGTCGTAAGTCGGGGACTACCTGTACTTTGTCGTGATTGTTCGTATAAAATTGTCTGTAGATAATTTATTTAGAATGCTAATGCAACAAATCCCACCTTTTTATCTAGTATAACAAACTTGCTATGACTTATTACATACAATTATCTTATGTGGTGCAGTCAAGTGCAGTGAGGTGATTAACAGGCCAGACCCTGAGCGTCTCACGGGAGAGCGCCTACCCAAACCCAAGAGTATTAATTAGCATTTAGTTATGTTCTAAAAATAAGAAAAGATAAACAATGATTAGGATTCATTAAGTACGGTGGAAAAATTCATCTTGGGAGAGTTTAGTTGGCAATTGCTGCTAGAAGAGAAATTTTCAAGATTTTCAATTATTATGACAAAACATTCACTAAAAATTTTTATGTTCATAAAATGTACCCGTATTGTGTAATCATAATGGTACATTCTGGAGCCGGTGCATGCCCAGTACTTGCCAACAGTGCGTAACAGAGGCGTGACCGATCGCCCAAGCAGCTAACAAGCCAATCAGTGGTGAAGAGGATAAAAGAAAAAGAAAGAAAAAATTCCCTTTCGTATAGTGATACATCAAGAGCTATAAACAGAGACGATATTTTACTATCAACTTATGCATGTCTTGAAATAACTGTCACTGAGCAAGCCTGCCACAGGCCCATTAGGTAATAACCACGAGCTGCCATCACCATCCTCAAAGGGTTAAACACAATATTAGCAAAACCTAAAGTACCTGTGCAATTTTGAAAAACACCAAAGAAAAATTATGCTAATTGTAAAAACATTTTTAAAGCATGTAGCAGGAAGCTGATTACATACTGTATCAAGGGGTATCCATCTTATACAATAAGTTATGACCAGCTCACAGTGTCATGTGGTAATTTTCTTTTTCGTATATATCTTAGTTGATTTATGTTTGAAAGATGAGACATGCGATCTTTTTCTTATTTTCCTTATGAAGACTGTTTTATTTAAAGTATCTCAGGCAGAGGTAAATGTCAAAAGCTGGCTTTCCGTGTTATGACAAACACCTGCTTGTCATGCCTCTCCACAAACTCTCTACTGTATCTTGATTAAAGGATACACTTAACTAATTTGTGAGTAAAATTAAAAGATCTCATTGTGATTTTGTTTCCTCATAATGTTTTAACTCTACTGCAGCTCTAAGTCATGATCACAGCTACTCTCCCCAATTATAAATCTTATTTTCCATTCCACAATTTGAATTGTCCATAGATAATGGCTGCTCCCGGTATATTTTGGTTGCTCCCTCTGAGCCTCAGTGCTGAGATTGTCAACTTGGAGGATACACATCCTTTGACTCTATAACTTCTGCCCCCAAGACTATGAAACATAGCTCTATAACTTCTGCCCCCAAGACTATGAAACATAGCAAGGAAAAATATAATGAAAGTTAAATAAGTCCAGCTATAACATGTGTTTTTAATTTATGGATTTTGTGTAGTTGCAAAGTCCAACATAATACATTCTAGACTGTGTAAGGCTTGATACATTTTATCCACCATATATTAATCAAGGCAAGTAGAGTATTACTGTAATGGTGGTTAGATTTATTAATATATTTTTTAAGCTAACTACAGGTACAGTGGGGTATGCTATAACGAATCTAATTGGTCCTAGAACCTTGTTCGTTATAGCATTCGTTCGTTATAGGATTAATCCGTTCCAGGCCCCCAAATACAACCACTGAACACTGAAAAATATATAAAATTGTAAAAATTGTAAAAAAGTGCATAAATATGCATCTAAACCCCTGAAATAAAGAATATCATTAATACTTGTAATACAAAAACATTAAATTAGTAAAAAAAAAAAAATTAAATAATGTTCGTTGTAGGAGTTTCGTTCGTTATAGCATTCTCAATTTCATAGGTAAAACCGTTTGTTATAGGAATATTCGTAGTAGGATCCGTTCGTTATAGCATACCCCACTGTACTGTAGTTTACTTTAAGTGCATAATGTGTGCTTCACTCCTTTCTCTTCCCTATAACTTTGTCTTTTATGTTATAATGACTAATATTCATGACACAGGTTTTTGGTGTGCCAGATGCCAGAATGGGAGAAGAGGTAGCAGCTTGGATCAGGAAAGCAGATAATGCTGAACTTAATGACACTATCATCAAGGACTGGTGTAAGGGTAAGGTGGGTGTCACACAGCATATTTTATTTGTTGCAATAGAGGCATCCCCTGCATTAAGGAATTTTGCCCTTACAGAATTTTGAAATCATGACCATAATTGCGGGTTACGGAAAAAACTTACTCTTACGGAATTTGGGTAAATAAATAAAAGAATACAAAATCGCGATTTTTAACCAATTTTTTACCAGAATTGTAAAAATTATTTTGTAGGAATTCTCTGTGGTAGCCACAAGGTGGTTGAAAGGCCACTCACCTCCCCAGTTGCCAGCAACCACCACAACAATGGCACTGCTCATTTAGAATTCTTTCCTCAGCTTGTGTTCAGTTATGGGTCTGTGTTCAAGCCTGTACAGGCATCCTCCGGGTTATGATAGGGTGCTGTTCGTGAAAATCTTTCCATAACAAAACCATTTTTCCCACTGACTCCTATTACAGCATGTCTTTAAAATTCGCAGGGGATTGGTCTCAAAATGGCCGCAAATTGCCAAAACCGCGAATATCATTTGTTGAACTCATGTGCAAATTAATGTATATTCCCTTTGTGTTTGCCCTTAGGACAATTATTTCTTTTACCTGTATGGTACAGTATACTGTATGTGTATGTGTGTGTAGACACACACACACACACACCACCAGTCAACCCTCGGTGTGACAAGACATGTTTGTAGGTGCTCCTGATTGGCAGCCAACCTAGTCTGTTTGGCCCTGCCACCCCCCCTCTGTTCTATCCCAACTCCCTACCAACCTCACTACACCAGGATCTATCAGCAAAACATTCAAGTGATAAGTGCAAAGATTGGTTACCAAATCAGTTAAGTACCCATGTGCCAAGCTAGTATTATGCGGGGATTACAACACAATTGACACCACTGATATCCAGGACCAGCTGTCACTATCACAAGTTGTGAACTTCCCCACACATGGTCAAAATACCCTTGACCTTATCTTAACTGACTTAGCACACCAGTACCAACCATCTCAACCAATGCCTCCTATCGGGTGTAGCATACACCTATCAGTGCTCTGGTCTCCAGCTGCCACTACCAGCCAAATACAGAGACCCTACATCAGGGTTGTTAATCCGGATCTTTATATTAATACCGTAATACGCCCTTCCTGTTTACTCAGGGTTGTTAATCCGGATCCTTATATAAATGCCGTAATACGCCCTTCCTGTTTCAAGTATCTAAGGGTTGTTAATCCAGATCTTTATATTAATGCCGTAATACGCCCTTCCTGTTTACTCATGGGTTGTTAATCCGGATCCTTATATAAATGCCGTAATACTCCCTTCCTGTTTCAAGTATCTCAGGGTTGTTAATCCGGATCTTTATATTAATGCCGTAATACGCCCTTCCTGTTTCAAGTATCTAAGGGTTGTTAATCCGGATCTTTATATTAATGCCGTAATACGCCCTTCCTCTTTCAAGTCTCTTATCCTTATCTAAGGATCTTCTCAGAAGAACAATATTCATAAGTGTAATTTCCCTAGGTATAACTTGGTTAGTTTACGGGACTTTCTGGTTATCCACTGCCGTGATATTTTCTAGGGTAATCCACTTATCTTATCTTTTTGACCATTAATTAATTTATCTAGGTTTTCTTAACAATGGCCCCCTCAGGATTTGTTAAACTTGGTAGTCCTGGAGGAGTGGAAGAGCAAGATACCATTTCACATCTTGAAGCTTGTGGAGGAGCGTGGAGAGGTTAATTTAGGGCGTGCGGCTGAGCTGGCTGATGCGTACGCCTTGCTGGTGGAGTCACTGTGCCGTAGGAAACGTGGTACTTTCCGGCATGTTAGGTCCTCCTCTGATGATAACCTTGGGGACGTGAGTGGTAGGTCGAAAGGTCCCACACCTACCCCCCTGATGCAACCAAGTTTTATTGTTCTTACTGTAAAAAACCAGGCCATACGATCCAGTCTTGTAAACACCCAAAGTGTCGAACTGCTAAAAGTAGTTCCCTGGATCCCAAATTCAAACCAGTAACAACCAGGATATGGAGAAGGGAAACCCCGGAGTGGTAACTAAGACTAGTCATACTCGTGTTTCGTCCCTAGATGGCGTTGCTCGTAGTGCTGGGTAGGTAGATCATGACAATTGATGGTGTGGTTCGTAACAACCTACAGGCCGATTACTGACTCTGCAGTGCGTCTCATCGAGCAGTGGATAGTTCACCATCCCTGGACTGAAGTACTTAGTGTGGATGACGTGGATACCAAATGGATAAATTATAACACCATCACGGAAGCTCACCACCACTTCTTCCCCGAGAAGTCCATCAGATCACACCCAGCTGTCTTGCCCTGGATCACACCTCAGATCAAAAGACTTATACAACAGAGACAGTGCCTTTTATCTCAATGACCACAACCGCTACAGGTCCCTTCGCAACCAAGTCATCCGCGAAATACGCACCGCAAAGAAGTCCCACTACCCAACTAAGTTGCAACACCTAACCCAAACCAACAACAGTCAATGGTATGGTAAGCTTAAAGAACTCTGTGGACTAAACAATAAGACACATCCCCTCCCCTTCCTTAGCCATCTCACTAATGGTGACGCAGCTGAGCAATCAAACAACCATTTCGCTACTACATGCCAGACGCTGCCTGGCTTGACACAACCGGTCTCCCTGCTTACCTACCAGGCCCCTTTCCCACTGACTTAGTAGAAGAATTTGAAGTAGCAAAACGTCTAGACAAACTGAAGTTAAAGCATTCCATCACCTCCATTGATTTACCAATGAAACTCTACAAGGAGTTCTCCCCGGAACTAGCTAAACCCCTCTGCTCCATCATCAATGCTTCCCTCAGCCAAGCAAGATGCCCAGCTGACTGGAAGACCTCATATGTGTCACCAGTGCCCAAGTCAACCAGCCCACAATCCTTAAATGAGCTTCGACCCATTGCAATCACCCCAATACCCAGCTTAATCTGTGAAAGTTTCGCGTTTGACTGGGCTTATGCTGATATTGCAGGCGCCATAGATCCTCAGCAATTTGGCAATATGAAAATTTCCTCCACTACTCACTGTATTGTCAGCTTTCTCGACTACATATAGCCGGCATCTGGAAAAACAGAAAAAGTCTGTGGCTGTCGTCTTCATTGACTTCACCAAAGCATTTGACCTAGTCGACCACAATTTAATCATCAACAAAGCTATCGACCTTGGGTTTCGAAGAAGTCTTATACCATGGCTTACAGACTTCCTCAGTGACCGACGACAAGTCGTACGCTTCCGAGGGGATGTCTCCACTTTTCAGTTACCCACCTGTAGCATCCCACAAGGCACCAAGATGGGACCGCTCTGCTTCCTTATGCTCACCAATGATGCCTTAAGAGAAACCCCTGCTCGCTGGAAATATGTCGACGACTCCACCATTGGGATCAGTGTCAACAACTCCGCTCCTGACTATACTACCCTCCAGGATTTATTGAAGTCTCCAAAATTGGGCCACCAACAACCACGTCACCATCAACCATACCAAGACCATGGTTATGCACTTCAACCTCTCCTCCAACGTTGTCCCACCCCCTTCCATTACTTTAAGCCCTGACACACTCCAGGTTGTAGACTCCACTAAGCTCCTCAGCATCACCATAGATAACAAACTAAATTGGAAAACACACGTCAGTGAAGTTGTCAAATCCTCCAGTTTCCGTCTCCACCTCCTCCGCTGACTCAAGTCCCTCGGAGTTCCTGCGCCCGAGCTCCTCAGTGTTTACTCAACATTCATACTTCCCAAGCTCACCTATGCCTCCCCTGCCTGGTCTTCCTCCCTAAATGCCACACAACATAAACACCTAGAAAAAGTGCAAATGAGGGCATGCAAAATTATTCTCTCCCCTTCCTACTCCACATATCAAGAAGCACTCAACACACTGACCCTCTCAGCTCTCCCTGACCATCACCACGACCTAATCTGCAAATTTGGTAAGAAGCTTCAGCACCATCCTCGACACCGTCTCCTACTACCATCCGAAATCCCTCATCCGCTAATTGCTGTTCGACACCACAACCGCATCTAGCCCATACAAGCATGTACTGATCGCTATAAGAACAGCACAGTTCCAACCATTGTAAAAATTATCAATAACTTGTAATCAACCAGTGTATTCACTCCCAATCAATCTTACCTTTTTGCACAGTCACTATGTTGAAATGCCCCGTAGTATGACCTTCTCCCCACCCAGTTATTATATATCATATTTGTATCACACATTTTACTCGTATATTATTTGTCTCTCAAGATACCCATTCCCCAATTATGTAACTGTAGTAACACAATATAAGCTGCATACCATCATTAGTCGCTCAGTTAATATTTTTCACGTCCAAAATGAAACAAAATAGGTTTACAAGTACACTTATGTGTTGCAGGTCTGGCTCAGAGCAGAAAGCCTCGGGGTGTTTAGGGCAATCAGTTGAGAGGTACTGGTGGTTATATAATAGTGTCTCGAGTCCCGGGTAGAAACATCAAGCTGATTCAGCATAGTCTACATCCCTGGCCTCTAATTATATCAGGATTGACTCAGCACCTGTTTGCTTGGTACAACAAATAACACACTTCTTACCACTCTCCCATACTGGTCGCTGCCTAGCGAAGCGATTAAACTCCGACCATTGGGCGATCACACCCAAGACAACAAATAGCAGGAAATTATTAATTTGCGCCCCCTTCTAGTAGACACAATTTGGTCATTAGACGAATCAAAATGGTGCATGCAGTTGTTACCTTAACCCGACATACCAGTCCATCATCGTTGGGCATCGCTTCTATTATTCTACCTAGCTTCCATTGGTTCCAAGGCAGTGGTTCTCCAATCACAATGACCAGGCAATTTTGTTGAAAGTTGCAACAAGGTTTGAGGTGTTTCTGCCGCTGACGGAGCAAAGGTAGGTGTTCCTTGAGCCAACTCTTCCAGAACTGATCCACCAAGAACTGTACATGTTTCCACCGTCTGCAGTACACTTCCCCAACACTGAAGCCACCCAGAGGG